CGACGGTGGTGGGCAGTTGGGGATGATCAACGAGAGGAAGCATAGGAGCATCGTGAGTTGTGTATGTGTTGTGAATAGTTGAGATGAAAGGAAAGAGAAAATGGGAAGATACAATCCTATAATTATGCCTAATATAAATGAACCCTTAATTATATCCCTAATTTGAATTATGGTTTAGAAATGGTAATTTGGTATGCTTAAATGTAATAAACACAAACCTTAAACATTGAGGGTAATAAGGTTTGATATATGGTATAGATAGGTAAAAATCCCATCTTATAATGATTCGAGTTTTAATTGCTTATTTAGCTAAAGTCCTCTATTTTTTTATAATGGAGTTCCAGTATACTTATGCTGGAACTCCAATATAATATACTAGAGTTCCAATATATTATACTGAAATTACAATATATTATACTGGAGTATTTTTCCGGATTTTAATAGTATTTTCGTTTAGATTTATCTTTACATGAAAAGTAGCTAAATTTCGATTACTTTTGAAATTGTGACTATTTTTGAATGACCACTTGTAAATCTGGCTATTTTTGAATTTCTTCCAACAGAAATCGCTAGCTTGGTTGGGAAATCTCTATTAGAGCTGGACGAGCAACTACATGAGATTGACATTTGCAAGAGTGTTTGTAGAGGCCGAACTAAACCAACAATATCCATCAGGCATTATGTTTGAGAAGGAATATGGAAGAATTATAGAACAAGAGGTGAGATATGAGTGGAAGCTAGTGTTGCGTTCAAGATGCAGGAACTCTGGGCATGAGACAAGGAATGCAGGAAACAACAAAAAATGAGACTGAAAGGAAGGAAAACAGATTGAAGAGCAACAACAAAAGCCGCAGGAAGTAGTAGTGGCAGAGAAAACAAAAGAGAATGCACAACAAGCAGGAATGGAGGATAATGAGGTTAATCAGAATAATAGAACAAGGAATGAGACATGGAAGGGCAATAATATGAAGCAAAGGGTGGCTAACAAGGAGGTCATCAAAACTGGTAATACATTCATTGCTCTGGCAAATATAACTGATAGTGAGAAGGGTATACAACAATAACAACAACAACAACAACCACCCAGTATAATCCCACTTAGTGGGGTCTGGGAAGGGTAGTGTGTACGCAGACCTTACCCCTACCCTGAGGTAGAGAGGCTGTTTCCAAATAGACCCCAAGCATCCTTCCCTCTAAGAACTTCCCACCTTGCTTGGGGAGACTCGAACTCACAACCTCTTGGTTGGAAGTGGAGGTTGCTTACCATCATAGCAACCCCTCTTGTCTATACAAGATATTAATAAAGGTGGTCATTCGAATCATCCAATTGTAACCAAGTACAACATAAGGTCGACTCTGCAGTGATAATTGCAAGCTCAATAAAGTAATATGATTTCAAATTGCACACTATATACAATATTCCAGCACAGAAATAAATTGGAAGACGCATAAGGTTGATTTGATTTACAAGACTGTACAAGAAGTTAATATTTACAGGCTTTATTCACAACCAATCCTGTTGAAAGCACACAGCAAAAACATCTTCAAAGAGCCCTTAGAACCATTTTGCTCGTCTTGTGAACCCCTTTGGCAGCAAGTCTGACAACAGATCGGCTCTTGTACAACCTGCAGAAACAACAGGTTTAGTCACTGTACCTCTATGTCCTAACAAAAATGTCAATCCCTTCAAAATATAGTTCATGCATGGTCAAGTCAGATGCATTTGATGTACAGAGATCAAAAGAACAAAATCTGCACCAAAATATCTCTCTAAGGATATAGTCTGATCATGTTTACAAATTGGTCTAGAATTTGAAGCCTCAACTGCGAAAGCTAAACTAACTGATCTACATAATTCAACCAAAAGTTCTGTATTGTTACACAAGGACCTAAAATATCCAAGAAATTTCACAGATCACATTTACATATTTCAATTGAAATTCTATGGAAGTCGTTGATGTTCCAGTCCAAATACAAAAATTTCTAAAACATGCAAGACCAGAAATATGAAGAATTAGAATGGAAAACATGGTAAAGTGAGGCCACCCCATTTGTTGTAGTATGTAAGATTAGAAACACAGGGAAGCAAAAAATAATAAATGAGTACTCACCCCACTAGAGCAAGTCCCCAGGTGGAAAGGACGTAGAACGTTTGTGCTGCATGCCAAATGTTGAACATTTTTTCTACTTTACCTGTGCCTTCTAATGCTTTTGTCAAGGCTGTAAATCAAGTTGAAGACCACATAATAAGATGATGCTCAAGTAAAGATCATAAACACACAATGGAAATAAGAAGGAACAACCAATCAAGTAACCCAACCAACCAATCAATCTCCACTAACAATCAATCAATTAACCAATCTCTAACAATCACTCAACCAATGAATCTTCTCTCATCAAATCTATTTCTAATTCTAGCACTTAGCCAAAAAGGTGCATTTTCTCCGCTCCCTCTCGAACATTTTGAATGCAATTCTCTAACAAGACAGCATAAATCTCATAGATCTGGAGCTATTGTACACCACATAATCACCAAAAAAAAATGGATGGCCAAACATTATCTAAAGGAAGACTATCAGAAGTAACCTATCACTTAAAAATTTATTCCTAACAAGTATTTGGTTAGATCCAGCATTAAATCTTGAGAAGGCTCCCCATCTTAAAACATGTCCATGCCTATACATATAAATCCATTAAACAAAAGAGAAAAAGCATGAAGAAGAAAATGTAGAAGCCATGTAATGAAAATCTGTATCACCTAATCATTGAATTTTACGCCTGACTCTGGATGTTTTATGTTAAAAGAACGAAGAACAAAGAAATAATAGGAGAGAACAAATAGTAACTTACTCTTTTGCAGTTCTTCAGGAGACATCTTCTGCAATTGCAATACACAGAAACAGTGAAAAAAATGACATGACCCCAGCATAATTGAAAGGGAAATATACTTTTAGTCCATGAGTTAATGTTGTTTCAATCCATGTGTTATTTGATGAAGCACATTTAAATTTTAGTTAACTGAATGTTCAGTTTTAATCCAATCATTGATGGAAGATATAGGGTAGTTATATAGCTCCCACTCTGATTTTCCTAATTGGTATTTAGGCACACATACCCAGCATTTCTTTACACCCATGCACATTCAACTACTTCTGCACTAGCTTGTTCTTGATTCAAGTCTATTACCAAATTATTTACATACTTTGGGAGTCCACATCTGCTATACAAAGTAGTTGTTCTGCAAAAAGGGTTCACCAATAGCAATCACACCAAAGACTAACATGCAAGTGAAGAGACTTAATCACGAGGAAGGTGGGATGACAGGAGTGCGATGAGGGTGTAATAAAGGGAAGTTGTGACAACGGTTGGTGGCAATGGTGAAATCTGATCCATTCTAGGAGGATCATCAGGAATTCTGCCGGATATCAAATTTAGCACCTAGCCAATCAATTCGAAGAGTTTCTGCGGTTCAACAAAGTTCTTCTATGGCTGCATTACCTTTGACCGCCCAAAAGACGTGCTCTTCAACATTATCCATCAATTTAGAGTCGTACGAGTGGGGGATATAAAATCTGAAATTCCTCCCCACTAGTTTCAACATCTTGCTTCCCCTAATAATCACTAGCGTGTTACACTATCCGACCCATCTGCATCGAAGACAGAGGGGTGGTCTGTGTGGAAAGAAAGCTAATATACCAGAGAAGCAAAGACCAGAATGGAGCTATCTAACGTCTGTTATTTTACAATCAATGATGGGATTAAACCACACAATTGTTTAAATTGAAGGTTAAATTGCTTCATCAAATAACATAAAACAATAATCCAGGGACTAAAATTGCTATTTTCCCTAATTGAAATATGACAAACAAGCAAAAATATATAAATTGCCTTGTACCTGAGCCTTCGAATTGGATACTATGCATCTAGCCATAAAGTTGGCAACTGCATCTACAACATATTCCTCACTAACAATCACGTAATTCTCATTATCTATTCCACTTCTTTCTTCAAAATTGCTGGGGACCATTTCCTCAGTCACCCAAACCCACCAACTTGGTTCTTCAAGGCTCATGTTTACCAGAAGTTCTGCCGTCTCCATGTCAGAACCTAAAAACATTTTGCTTGGGTAAATCAGAACCTAACAATATCTATATGTTTTCGATTTTATTTTTATTTTTTTTATAAGGTAAGGTACCTGAATCCAACAATTTATTAAGAGTAAGATGACAAGAAAAACCCTCTTTTGAAAATGGAATACATTATGAGAGGGAAACACCACTTCCCATAATACTCATCAACCAACTACTCAACTCTGGTAAACCTTTAGACTTCCAGCACATCTTACTTTTCTGCATTAAGTAGATGTCCTTTATTAACAAACAGGGCAAGACATTCAAAATACGAATTAGTTAAATCCCTATGACTCAACCCCACCTCCAACGAATGGATATATTCTGGGATTCATCCAATCTCACTCAATCCTACGTCCTACTCCACGACTAATCTCTTTTAATATACGAGAGTCAACAAATATTACTACAACTATTTTTTATAACGCGAAATTGTCCAGCCCAGCTTGTGTGTACTCGACTATTCCACTCGGTACCTACTACCTTCCACCAACACGGATAGCAGAGTAACTCTGCCCACCAAAGTTTAGGTGGATGGTTAAATATCACCTAGTTTTTTGTCGGGGATTTGAACCATAGTCTCCAAGGTTTACATCCACATCATTGACCATATAGACCACACTCTTGGGGCAAATATTGCAACTATAACTGACAAAAACTAAATATCAAAGGACACAGAACAACACGAACCAGTAGGCTCCTTGAAAGGAAATTGACAGCCATTCCCATCAACGGAATTTCGATTGAGTGATTCCAGCTGTTTCAAAAAGCTTCCGGACTCGACAGCAGCTAACAGACGATCATGAAGCTACACAACATTATTTTTTTTAAAAAAAACATTAAAAAATCTATTTTTTTAGCTAGAGGGAGAAAAGGGATTGTGTTAGGAATAAAGGGAAACATACATCAGGGGGACAATCTTGAAGTAATAAAGGAGATTGTGACATGCTCTGAAGAAGCACAAGATTTTGTTGAAGCAACCGTTTCAGCCGCTCGTTTTCAGACCTCAACGATTTCAATTCATCATCTTGTTCAGACACATCATACGGCGTCGTTTCGGAGTGATTATGGGTATGGTGGTGACAGTGTTCCACCGCTGACCATGCCACGTCGGCCACCTCCAATACCGTCTTCGCCACCTCAATCGGATTGTGTCCCTTCATATCTGGATTGAATTTGCTTTGAAATTGTATGGATCTTTAGGGTTCGATGTTTTTCGGATTCAGTAGAAACCCTAAATTGAAAAATAGTTGGATGGAATATGCGTAATCCAATCAATACATATACATATAGGTAGTTTTGTGAAGGTACTCCTTTGTTTTTTTGTTAATTGCACTTCGGGCCCCATATGTTCTTGAAATTCCAAAAGATGGTAGAGTTGAAGGTACTGAAAAGAAATGACGACAAAATAATAGATTTATGTACTTGAACGACATTCGGAATGAAGCTTTCGGAAAAAAGCGTTTGAAATGTGTAAATAACTTTTACTTAGTAGTATCTTTTACCGTCTTAATTTATGTGCTTTAGTTTTTTCTTTAACTAGTCTTACGTTAGCATCAATCAATTTAAATATATATATATNTACAATGACATAGTAGTTGACGTAGACAATTAAAATTTTATTAAATTTAAATCTACAAGTAATTTGGATTTTTATCATATATTAAATACATATTAGTCCAAATAATATTATGGGCTAGTATAATCGGGTCGATTGATTAAATCTAATATAAATTAATTTAAATGAAAGTCCAATATATTATTGGGCTAGCCCGTCAATTGGTCTTCTATCAAATGAGTCGGCCCATAAGCCACAAGCCCAATGACCTACTAAGGGTTTCTTGGAGCCTACTCCATCCCATACCTATATAAAGGGGTTAGAGGGACAAGCAAGTAAGTAGAAGGAAAGACTAAAGAAGCTTTAAAGAATAGCATCAAGGTCTCCATCCATATCTGCCACCGTCGTCTGTGGTCAAATTCCAAAGGCGAACTCAAATCATAGGCGGGCAGCTTCAAATCTTTCGTTCGTGATAACCCAACACCAAATCTTTGTTCCTGACGACCTTAAAATTGTTCGTGACGTCCTACAAATTTGAAATCCGTCAAGTTCAAAATCAAGCTCTCAAGCTCTTGAACCATCGTCTGTGAGGAGAAGAATCAAAGGATTACATCTCTTTAGATTTTAGAGACATTTTAGAGATTATAACCCCATCACTTGACGTCGAATATAATATTTCTTGTTATATTTCTTATCTTGATTATTATTTTTCAGGAGCGAAATTTAGTTGTTATAAATTTTGGCACGCCCAGTTGGACCATCTTTACCTCTCATCTCTTCTCTTCGAAGTTCAAGTACACCAGGATGACCTCAATAAAAATCAACTCTAGATCTGACTCCAAAAGCAGATTGGAAGTTGTCATAGAGATTGTTGGCCAAATCAAAAGAAGCAAAGCCGAGACGTTAAGACAACAAATGCTTGAAGTGCGGTCCACAACTCATGTTTTTGGTTCATCTTCTCCAAAAGAAGTAAGATCCTCTTTCGTACATGCTAGAAGAAGGGAACAACATTGCTGAGGTGGTCGAACGAACTTTGGCGCGATTCAGCCTTTCAAAAGAATGCCACCGCTAGTCCCACAATCCCTTCATGTAGAAAGATAATGACGTCTTGAGCAACAAATTTTCTCCAATCTCTCCTCATGTCACTCCACAATATGCTTTGTATCCAAGTGATGTTCCATACCATTCTTCATCCTCTGCGTTGATCATACAAACGATGATGATTGAAGCTTCTACTATAGAAGAACAATTTACAAATTTGACAAAAGTAGTTGAAGGCTTGACAAAGTACATGAAATATCAAGATGATAAACTTTCCAAGTTGATGAATTAGGTGGAGAGTATGACGGAGGAAGAATCAAACCAAACACCTAGGAAGCTTCCAGAAATTCATGAGAAAGGAGGGTCCTTTACAAAGCTAGCAACAATGACCAAAGAGCTCCAAGTCGGACAGATTCATGTTGAGCAATTGAAGGACTTCATCATAGGGGCCATCAAAGATAAAATTGAGCCTTCGCCTAAATCTTTTCTTATATATGCAAAGCCGTACACACAAAAGATTGATAACTTGAAGATGCCAAGCGGATATCAACCCCCTAAGCTTCAACAATTTGACGGTAAAGGGAATCCCAAGCAACATGTTGCACACTTCGTCGAGACGTGCAATGATGCTGGAACTTATGATGATCACCTTGTCAAGAAGTTTGTTCGATCTCTCAAAGTAAATGCTTTCAATTGGTACACAGATCTTGAACCTGGTTGCATTGATAGTTGGGAGCAAATCGAGCAAAAATTCCTCAATCGCTTCTATAGCACGAGACGCATTGTGAGCATGATTGAACTTGCAAATGCCTGCCAACGGGAGAAGGAACCAGTTATCAAATTGATCAATCGTTGGAGGAGTTTAAGCCTCAACTGCAAAGACCTTTTTAGCGAAACTTCTGGCATCGAAATGTGCATCCAAGGTATGCATTGAGGCCTTCGCTACATCTTGCAAGGAATAAAGCCTATAACTTTTGAAGAGTTGGCCACCTGTGCGCATTATATGGAATTGAGTATGGCTATACGTAGAGATCAAAGGTTGTCTATCTTTGAGACTCATGACAAAAAAGAAGTAGACGATGCCGAGAATGGGGGCAAGTATTCATCCGAAACGGAAATCGAAGAGTCCATGCATGTCACTATGCTCCTTGACGCAAATTGAAAGTCGCAATGCTCCTTGATGCATGAGCCTAAACTGCAAGTCGCAATGCTCTTTAGCGTATGAGCCTAAACTGCATGTCGCAATGCTCCTTGATGCATTAGCCTAAACTGCAAGTCACAATGCTCCTTGACGCATGAGCTTAAACTGTATGTTGTTATGCTCCTTGATACACGAGCCTAAATTATATGTCACAAAATTCCTCAAATTCGAGCCAAATCTTCAACTTGCAAAGCTCTTCAAAATTTGAGCGAAGTCTTTAAGTCACAAAGCACTTCAAGTTCGAGCAAAATCTTCAAATTCGAGCAAAGTCTTCAAGAAGTCAAGTTCATCAAATTCGAGCAAAGACTTCAAGTTACAAGCTCTTCAAATTTGAGCAAGTCTTCAAGATGTAAAGCTCTTCAAATTTGAGCAAAGTTTTCAAGTTGCTATACTCCTTGTCCGCACGAGTATAAACTGCATACAAAAAAAAGAACTTATACTTTTTTTGAACTACGTAATGACTTGATCCTCTTTTCTGGGGCACTTAGGCAACTTAGATTTCATTCTAAGTACAGTCATTTAAGCAAAAAAAAAAATGAGCCAATTCCTTTTCAGGATAGCCAAAAGAGGATGTTAGCTCTTTGTATGCGACATGTGCTTCTTTGGTAAGTTAAAAGAAATAGTTATTCCACGTCAAAGATTAAAGAATAATGCGCCATATTTTTTTCATCCAGCCGCATGAAAAAAATATTGCGTCATGTGCTTCTTTCGATAAAGGTTGAAGGACGAGATGCTCTCCTCCATAGCTCGAAATATGGAGCACTACATTTATCTTTTCGTCAAATCATGAGAAGGACGTTCTATAAAATTCTTTTACAAATTGTAAGAAGATGTTGTTCTACTCCAAAGCTTGAAGTTTAGGATACCCCATGCACTTCTTCGATAACTTGAAAGAAGATATGGTTTCAACTCAAAGATTGCAGGATGGCTACTTTACATACTTGCTCGCAAAAGATGCAAGAATAGTACTCCTAATGTCTCGCCAAGCTACAAAAGGGGAGATATGCCACGTACTTACTCACCTGGTTGGAAAAGGATACTCCAAATGTCAATCTCGCCCAGCCGCAATAAAGAGACGAATGGTTCATCCCTAATTATGTGGACCTCTAATGAATCTTCTTAGGGATATCAAGAATGCTCTTGAAAATCAGCAAAAAAGAAAGATTTTGGAGCACCCCGGTGCCAATGGCACAAAGCTTTTGGTTTTGCTTAGTTGATTGGTGCCAACAACACAGAGCTTTAGTTCAACAACAAGTACCAATGTCAACGACACGATGCTTCAATGTAGATGGAGAACTTGCCATGGATTTCTTTGCCAAATTGCAAGAAGAGGACGCCATAAAACTCCTTCTAAGGCAGGGAAGGAATGCGAGCCGTAATGATGGCGATGAAAGACGGACCTACTTGAGTGATTGTGTTTTTGACAAAGCTCGACTGGAAAGGTGGATGCACCAAACTGTTGTTTGCCAAAGCCTCGGCTGAAAAGGTGGATGCGCCAAATTTTTGTCCTCCTATTCCACGAAGATGAGAATGCACCAAGATTTCCCTCGCCAAACCTAGAAAAAAATGTATGCTTCCCAAAAAAATAATCCTTCTGATTTCGGAGCTTGATTAAAAAATATTATTATGGTTGGATCAAAAAGGGTAGAGCTTCTACTTTTATATATGTTATACCTATCTTACTCTTCTTTTTAATGGTATAAACGACTTATGATTTGGACCCTCCTACCTCAACATATGAATTTTTCCGCGAGAGTGCACAAAGCTAAAAGAGCCGGCACGTCAGAACTCGTCGTGTAAATTCTGAATAGTATCTGGAACGGTCTAGGAGTAATATGATTGTAATCTTATTGAAGTCGAAGTTTGGGGAGTCTAGTTTTCATAGCTGTAAACCGCTCATGATTCTGATATTCCTACACCAAGATATGAATCTTTCAGTGAAGGCACGCGAAGCTGAAAAGTCGAGTACGGCAGAATCTGAAGCGAAGTTTAGAGATACTCCCGAGACAGTTCAGAACGAATTTGGCTTCAAATTTTTGATATGTTGTAGCTCTCTGTGTTTAGTGTAAAGGAAATCAAGCGAACTGCAATTCATGCGCTCGTACACCATGTCGCACCTCCACTTTACCGCGCCCGCGGGGGCGCGTGCGGAGTTTTCTCCAATTAAAGGACAGTCGAAACGGGATGTGTTTATTTGTTTCAGAGTCGCCACCTAGGAATTTTAAGGCGTCCCAAGTCACCGGTTTTAATCCGTGAATCGAGGAGAATATGACTCTGTTTGTTATTCTGCGAACCAGAAATCCTGAGTAAGGAATTCTGTTAATTCGGGAGAAGGTGTTAGGCATTCCCGAATTATGTGGTTCTAGCACGGTCGCTTAACTGTTTTTATACTTGGCTTAATTATCTTGATTTACTAAAGACATGATTTTGTTACCGCTATCATTAAAGACTTTTCTTGAAACGAATCACGCGTACGTA